TATTGTACACGAATGAGAGAAGTGGCACTTGGGCTTATTAGTCATGTTCTGATGGGGGTCAGCAAGCCCATCCTGTGGCTGCTGGTAAGTAAGCCCGCTCACGCCTGCCCCAAGCACTAAACTCACATCATGAAGATGTTATGCGAGGGGCCACATCCTGCCAGCCTGCATCCTCTGCCTGACCCCTTCTTTTGACTACTTTTCAAATCCAGTAGGTTTTGTGTCCAGCAAAGCTATGCTTCTTAGAGTGTAGTATGCACAGACCCTGGCCATAGGACAACCTGTTGGAGGCTCAGCTATTAGACAGGGTCTGAGAATATTGACTTCAACTTTATCCCACAGTGTGACGTCATCCAGAGTGGCTACTCTGAGAAGGCCTTGGTCTGGGTCTGTGGGCAGCTCACTCTGCTCTGAGCTCCTACTTCCACTGAAAAAGTTTTTCAAATTTTTATTTAATTTTTTTTTCATTGACAGCGCACTTCATGGTTATTATTGCTCAGATTTTTCAAATTAGGTCTATATGACAGCAGAATGCATTTTGACTCATTGTATACAATTACAGCACAACTTTTCATTTCTCTGGTTGTACACATGTAGCGTCATACAGGTACCTAGGGTAATGATGTCCATCTCATTCCACCATCTTTCTTGCCCCCATGAAGGTTGATTTTTACTCAACCATTTCAAAACATTAAAAAAGTCCTTAGCGCCTGTATAATATAAATAAATTCTCACTTGCTTTCTTATCCATCTTGTTGCTAGTTTATTGTGCCCCCTACCAGAATGGAAGTCAAGTGAGAGCAAAGAGTATTGCATGCTGCCTTGGTGTATCCCCAGCAACTAAGATGAGTGCCTGGCATACAGCATGTGATCTATAAATGCTAGTTACCTGTAGGTCTGCCATTACTGTTTTTGCACTCTGGACAGATGTGGAACTTGATGATTCCCAAAGAAAGACATCACTTGCACAAAGGCCTTGGGATGCAGCAGACTTTACTGAAGATTTGGAGAGTCGAAGGGGGTTTACATAGCAAAAATACAAAAACCTTTAGGTTGAATATCAGACACCCACAAGCTCAGTCATTTCCACCAATTGGGCTTCAGCCTTCTAGGAAGGTCCTTGGCCACCTCTCCCCATCCTTCCTCGGCACGTAAAACAGAAGTCACATCCTAGTTTCTTGTGTATTCAGTCCTCCATTTGCAGAGTCCTTTCCTTTAGACCTTTCTCAGGGGCTTTCCTCCCCCTAATTGGCCAAAATTATCTTTCCAGTTAAGAATACTTCCCTCCTCATTGCTGAGACCAGGGTGAGCACAAAAGACTAACAGTGCGACCCACAGCTGGACAGTTCTAGCTGAGCCAAGGAGCGTGGGGCCCTCTGGTCTTCTTTGAGTAGCACAGTAGAGCCTTTTCCCCTCTAAAAAGTGTATGTTTGCGGAGGTGCAGTCAGTGGATTTTTTTTTTTTTTCCAGTGCTGGGGATGGAACCCAGTGCTCCATAGCATGCTGGCAAGTGCTCTACCACTGAGCTCCGCCCAGCCCAGGGGATGTTCTTACCTAAGTTGTGACATTTTCAGAATGGTCACCTGAATTAGATGCAGTGCTCTCTCTCTCTCTCTCTCACACACACACACACACATGGTCATCTGTCCTCTGTCCTGCCCCTCTTTCCACGTGGATGCTGGCCAGGGGCACTTACTCCTTCTTCCACAAAGGCAGCTCCAACGAGACCCTGCCTGTCTTGCTCACTGACACATCCTCAATGCCTAGCACAAAGCAGAAGTTAAATAAATATTTGCAAGATTAGTGAATAAAATGTATCAACAGCATAAGAAAGTTACCAGGCTCCATGCTTCACTTTCTTCCTGGTGCTGTGATTGCAGAAAACCTGCGGTTCCAGCTATATGAAGGCTGAGGCAGGAGGATTGCTTAAGCCCCAGCCTGAGCAACAGTGAGTTCCCCATCTCAAAATTAAAAAATGGGGTTAGCATAGTACCTGTCCTATGAAGATTGTGGAAGTTCCCTTAAAAGTTCCCCTATTTAAGGACCAGGTAGATAATGGGTGCTCCCACAGGGTGAGTGGAATGCTTTGACACAAGGGCAGGAGTGCCTAAGGCTTTTGCAGAAGAGGTGACTCCTCATTGGTCGTTTTGGCATTGGGATGATTTTTTGGGGGGACGGGGAGTACTAGGGATTGAACTCAGGGGCGTTTGACCACTGAGCCACATCCCCAGCCCTATTTTGTATTTTATTTAGAGACAGGGTCTCATCAAGTTGCTTGGCACCTCACATTTGCTGAGGCTGGCTTTAAACTTGTAATTTTCCTGCCTCAGCCTCCCAAGCCACTGGAATGAGAGACATGTACCACTGAGCCCAGCTTGGCACTGGGATTTGAACCCAGGGGCACTCTATCATTGAGCTACAACCTTAGTCGCCCCATCCTCCTTTTTTAAAAATGTTGAGACAGGGTCTCACTAAGTTGTGGAGACTGGCCTCAAACTTGCTACCCTCCTGCCTAAGCCTCTTGAGTTGGTGGTTACAAAACGTGCACCACTGTGTCCGGCCTCATTCATTTTTGTAAAATGAATCACAGGTGGCTGGTGGGAAAGGAGGGGAAGAGCACTACTGGCCATGGCCGTCTGTGGGGGGCAGCGTGCTCTGCAGAGTCAGTAAGTCATGGAGGGTGCCTGGAGCTATTAGAGGCTGCAGGATTGGTAGAGCAGATCCTGTTTGCCATTGGCCCCAAGGGTCATAGTCACCCGGGAAAAGAGAGGCAGCTATACCTGCCACCTCCTATGGTGAGCCATTTGGAATGTCCACCTATCAGAAGGCAACTCTCCGTTGGGCAGCTGAGTTCAGTTCATAAAGGGAAAGGGAAACTTACAACCAACACATGGGCTAGGAGGCAGCCACTAGGTGGCAGCAGTGTTAGCCCCGCCCCCCTTTCCTCCTTGACACAGGGGTTGTGTCTTTGTCCACAGCCAAGCAGCTTAGCACACAACTTAGCACACCCTTCACCAGCCTTGGTCTGAAGCTGCATGGTGTTGCAGCTGTCAGTCAAGCTAGGAGGGGGAGCATCTTGGGCCTCCACACCCAAGCAGCCTGGGTCAGGGAGGAGAGGTCAAGAGCTGTGGTGGTGACTAGGAGAGGGGTCAGGAGAGCCTTCTGCAAATACCCACCTGCACTGGGACATAGGTGCACACACCATCTGCCCAGGAATGCAGTCCTTAGCTGCCCATCCTCCTCCTTTTTTTAAAATTTTGAGACAGGGTCTCACTAAGTTGTGGAGGCTGGTCTGCCTGGGATCCTGATACCAGAGGGGTTTAAACTGCTTTTTGATGAAAAGATAGAGGGGTAGAGGGAAATTAAGTGGCTTGCTTCCTCCCATTTGCTTATCTAAATAATGCTGGGGATGTAGCTCCGTGGTAGAGTGCTTGTCTAGCATGCCCAAAGTCCTGGTTTGATCCCTAGCACTGCAGAAAAATAGTAATAAAAATAAAATAAATACTGCCCATCCTTCAAGGGCCAGCTCTCCTCAAGCACCACTTCTTTAAATCTTCCACACCCTGATCTCTGTTATCTCTGGTCACCAGTTGCTTCAGGGATCAGACCCCCGCAGATGGCTTCCCAGTCTGACTCTTCAGACCACAGGCTCCTACAGGTAACAGCAATGCATATTTATTGAACACATGGATATGCTCAGACTATGGTAGGCACTTACATATACGAGGTAGGTTATTATTATTACACCCATTTGACAGATGGGGAAACTGAGGCATAGGGAAATTAATGAACTTGCACCAAGGTCAGAGTCAGCAGCTAGTCTGACTCCAGAGCCCTTGCTCTGAAACACCACTCCACAACATCTCCTTGATTCTGCTGTTATCATTTTTGTATTCCCATAGAATTGTATTCCCTGAGCACTGGGCATACAGTAAACATGCCTGTTCAGCTGCAGGCTACTAGAACTGTGATTCCTATTAGGGAAGATAATACCAAAGAGCCACTAGGTGGCAGCAAAGAGCCAGGCCCAGGCTCTCCCTAGGGCCGGCAGAGAAAGAGCTAATTACAATTAAACATTTTGGTGCAGCTTGTACCAGGCACTTTACAGACATCCCCTCTCCTCCTCTCAAAGGGCTTTGTAGATAAGTGCTGTTGCTTTCCCACTTCGCAAGGAGGAAAGGAGATTGGGGCTCAGATGGGTTGAGAAATTTGCTAATGTCAGGCAGCAGGAAAGCTAGGACTAAGCCGGATCTGCCTACACCCAAAGTCCCTGCCAGTTCTGAGATGAGCCAGGGAACGCCACAGTGGGGTCCCTCTAGGCTGAGTGGGTTCCACTACCCTCCACCCCAGCCCCAAGGGGCACAGAAACTCCCGGGGAGGAAGGCTGGTTCCAAGGAGGTTACCGTATAAGATGCCCCCCAGATGGGAGTTTGAGGCAGGACTTACAGACCATCAGAACTGGAAGGATCACGGAGACCACAGGGCTGCGATGGTTACTGGACCAACTCTGGCCCTTCACCACCATGCATGTGGAGGCTTCTGATGTCAATCATCCAAATGCCTCCACCCGGCTTCAGCCTGGCCACCCGCTCCCTCGGCCCCTGCCTTCATCTGGATGTTGAAATCTAGATGGCCTGACCATGTCATCTTCCAACAACTCTTATCACCCCCACACCTAAACTCCAAGCTCTGGTAGACGGGGCCTGGCGCTAGCTGTCAGCGGCAGTGGCAGGACACCCAGGTGCAGTCATGTACAAGAAGCTGAGGGTGCAGGGCCCAGGTGCCCATCGACCCTTGGGCCTCTCATCGGGGCCAGCAGCAACAGGAGAAACAGATGAGGGGCTTGAGCAGCAGTAGAGACATCAGGACTTGAGCTTCAGCACCTGGAGATGCTCCTGGCTGGGGCCACTGTGGGCCACTGTGGGCCCTGTGTCCAGTCTGCCTCCCAGACAGCCCCTCTCCCCCAGTCCCTCCCAGGGCTCATTCAGCTAGACCAGCTCCTCTGAAAATACACATCTTGGGTTTATTTGGGGATGGGCATTGCAGGATCAGGCACTGTTTCTTTCTGCCAGGAAGAATCATGACCACTCTGCTCAGCTCACTTAGCACTTCAGGGGGATGTCCCTGCAGGTCCCCTCCCCATGTCCCCATTTCCTGCACACACGTCTACCCCCCCTCCCTGCTCCCTGAGTCTCTCATTCTTTCACCAGCCGGTAGATGTGGTGTTGAGCCCCATGCTCGCTGGCCGACACCTCAAACACATATGCGATGCACAGCAGGGTCTCCTGTGTGTCTCTGTTGGTGACTACCTGTAGGAGAGACAGAGGAGACGCGGTTAAGGCCCCACATGGGGGTGCCACGTGTGCCATCCGCCTACGGACCACAGTCCCAGGCCTGCGGCCCCCGCCCGCACACCTGCAGGATGGTGAAGTTCTCCAGCACGCTGTTCATCATGTACTTCTCGGGCAGATGCTTCAGCTTGTGGATGAAGTTGATCATGTATTCGCAGAGTGGGGACCGGTGGATGCGGTATGAGTAGTGGCCATTCTCATAACGGGCATACTCTGTCTGCAGGACCCAGAGGACAGTAGGGGCTTAGATTCCCTTCACCTGCCTCCCAGGCCCCATTCACAGGAAAGCTCCCACAACCAGTCACTGTCAGCAGGAAGAAAAGGCAGGCGGCCTAGAGGCCTGCGAGCAGGGCCAACCTCTGAAGTTCAGTGACATTAAACCAAGTTTCCCTCCCTCATTAGTGACAAGCAGATGCTGCTACCAGTGAGGGGAGCTTAGAGACCCAGGAGTGGCAGCAACAGATGAGATGGAATAGGTGCTTGTCAATTCTGGCTGCACACGAGGGGACTACGGGGCAGAGTACCCAGGGACCCTTGTGGGCTAGAAACCTCTGACGGCGTAGATGTGAGGTGTCACAAAAGCTAACGTGTGAGCCAATGCTAGAAGGCCTGGAGAGGGGAATGGGATACGTGGAGGAACTCTGGATGGGCCAAAGGGGAGGGAGGGGAAAGGAGGGGGCATGGGTATAGGAAAGACGGTGGAAGGAGACGGACATCATTACCCTAGGTACATGTGTGATGGCATAAATGGTGCGACTCTACTTTATGTATAACCAGAAGTGAAAAATTATACTCCATTTATGTATAATCAATCGAAGAGCATTCTGCTGTCAGGTACAACTGATTACAATGAATGAATGAATAAATAAATAAGAGGGGAAAAAAAGGCTGAGAGGAGAAATGATTGGGTCGAAGTCTTAACCTAATGAGTCAATTAATCTCTGATGGGATTAACTGGATGGCGGCTGGAGACAGGTGGCATGTGGCTAGAGGAGGTGGTTCACTGGGGCCGTGGGTATGGGGTATATATTTTGTATCTGGCGAGTGGAGTCTCTCTGCCTTCTGACCATCATGTGAGCTGCTTCCCTCCAGCACACTCTTACCCCGAGATGTTCTGCCTCACCTTAAGCCCCGAGGAATGGAGCTGGCTGCCTAGGGATTGAGACCTCTGAAACCGTGAACCCTTACATAAACTTTTTCTGCTCTGTAATTGTTCTTCTCAGGTCTTTTTAGTCACAGCAGTGAAAAAGCTGACTAGAACAAAGCCCCGTGTACCTGGACTCTGGCAGTAATCATGGGAATCTACACACATGGTGCACACACAACTCTAGAAATCGGAACCAGGTTGGTGGGTTAGATTGACATCAACTTCCTGATTATCAGTGAAGTTGCCCAGTTCTGTGGGAAGCTTCCAGTGGAGGAGTAGGGGGGAAGGTATGTGGGATGGATTGCAGGCCTGTCCACAATTTTTAAAATTAAATAAGTTGGGCCTGGCAGTGTAGCTCAGTGGGAAAGCATTGGCCTAGTATGTGCAAAACCCTGGATTCAATCCCCAGCACTGCAAAAATGAATAATAAATAAAATCGCCATCAGCTGGTCCCCTCTCCATAGATGAGGGTACACAAAATGAGTGGGGGTAGGAGCTTTTGATGCATTTCAAAGGCCCCCAGGTGATTCTAAGGTACAGCCACGGTTGGGAAACTCCAGGACAGAATATCTCTTGCCTGCTGCTGTCATCTGGTTGTTTGGCAGGATGTAGCTTATCAGTAACTGATGGTCTGTGACAGTAGGACTTCATTACCTCAGACCATTAATTTCAGAGGAAAGAGGGGGAGGATGGCGTCTAGCCTGACATTGCAGCAACCTCACAAGCCTGTGGCACTGCACAGGACTCAGGGACACAGGTGTTCTGGAATGGAGGCATTTCATCCCATCTCCTGGGCCACTGTGGCAGAGAGACACCTTGTCACTTATTTAGAGATAAATGAAGGGTTTACTCAAAAATTGAGGAACAGAGACATGAATCGTTTTTAGCATTTGCAGAGTAAACAGTGAGCAGGGAAGCAGCGACGAGACCCTGGAGCCCTGTTCTTGACATCTTCTGCCCCTGCTCTCAGAGAGGACCCGGGGATGCCTGTAAGGATGTGCTTGGAAGAGGAGTCCCAGGGTGGGAGGGTTAGTGGTGGCACGCAGAGCTGTGCAGGCAACAGGGAGCTTGCTGATGGTCCACAACTAGAGGGCGCTCTTCCCCGACGCAGCACACAGAAGCCATGCGGAGCCCACCTTCCACAGGGAGACTCTGAACAATCCTGTCCTCAGGAGAGCCCCAGGGAAGGAGGCCACTCAGCCCTCATGCCCCCCACACACCCACCCACCAGGGTGGCCTCCTACCTCAACTTTCTCCACCACCTGCTTGCCGAATGAGCAGACCTTGGTAGAACAGGTGATTATCATGTTCTCGGGACTCTCATACTGGCTGGAGACTCCATAGAAGGAACTGCCCTCGTCCTCGATGTTGGTGTTGAGGTCTGCCTGCAGGGAGACATGGGAAGCCAAGGACACGGTCAGCAGCATCAGCAGAGCCCTATCAGATGAAGAGACTCTGAGCCCCTCAAGGTCACAGTGCCACCTCTTGGGTTGGGAAGAAATCAGGAGGGCTTAAAAAGAATGTGTTGGACCCGTGGTGGCACATGACTGTTATCCCAATGGCTTAGGAGGCTGAGGCAGGAGGATTGCAAGTTCAAGGCCAGCCTCAGTAATTCCCTGTGTCAAAATATAATGGGTTAGCTGAGTGGTTAAGTACCCCTGGGTTCCATTCCTGGTATATATAAAAAAAAAAAAAAAACAATGTGGACAGAGTTGGAGACGAAGCTCAGTGGCAGAGTGCTTGCCTAGCATGCATGATGCCATGGGTTCCACTCCAACACACACAAAACATGGACTATCGATGTTGGAAAGCTTCCAGCATTCTCTACCCCCAGGCCTGCTGTAAACTATGGAAAAAGAGAACGCTGGGGCCTACATTTACTTTAAGCTACTGCCACCTGCTCAGATACTATAACATCTAGTAAGTAGGTTCCCCAATTTTGTTTCTAGAATCTTTGAGTTTTACAGTCTGAGTTTGTTCTTTACAAATCCTTATCATTTTTATTTTAGTATGAATTAATTTATTAGAACCTTTCGGGAGTCAATGTTAACAACGAAGAATGCATGAGAACAGAAAGCCAAAACAGGGGACTGATAGAGAGGGACAAGGGACATCTCCAGGTCTCCTCCTCTGGCCAGCTGGTCACCAGATCCTACTGATGCTCTTCCAGAAATGGCTCTGGGGCTGGCCTCTCGTCCCTCTCTATGGCATTCTGAGTACAGTCACCTTTGATCTTTGCTCATTTCTCTCTCTCAGCCGCCAAACCCACCTCCCCAATACCAGTCTTCCCCGCCTTCTGGTTCATTCTCTTAACTGCTGAGATTTGCCTTCAGAAACGAAGTCTGAAACCTGGGGTGGCACCAATCGATCCAGCTACTTGGAGGCTGAGGCAGGAGGATCACTTGACCCCAGGAGCTCAAGTTCAGCCTGGGCCACTGGCTCCAGGGGTCTCCATGAGCCCTGTTGCTGGTCCTTTCCACCCACTCCTCACAGGCCCCAGGACACCCTGCTCTTCTTTCCTGTCCAGCTGGATATGGAGCTGATCTGAAGTTTATCTGCAATGCCTCCCTCTTAGTAAAGGTGGACTAAGTGGTAAAGGGGACGGGTAAGGTGGACTGTCAACAGCACATACACACCTCAGCCTCAGTTTAGCACGAGGCTCCCTAGCAGCAGTAGGTCTTGCTCAAGGTCACATGGCTCAGGCTGAGGTCAGCAGGCACCATCTGCAATGCCTGTCTCAACCCAACAAAGGGAGGCAGGAACTGTATAAGCCAAATCGCTGCCTTGGGGACTGATGCTGGAGTTGTATTTCTGAAACTCTAGGCCATTTAGGGGTGCCCATATCCAGAACTCAGGCCCCACATTAGATTACCTTGCTTGTCAGGACTCAGAGGAGACGCACAGACATCACAAAAGGCTGCTTCTTAGGGTGAGGCCGCTCCACCCACCCACACAACTAGTCTGAAATCAAAAACTGCAGTGATGAAACAGAGCACAGCTCTACACAGTATTGGGAGTGCAGATCATGGTCCAGGTTATAACGCTCAGGATTCTTCTGAGCCCAGATAAGGTGATTCCCAGAACCCCAGGGAGATCTGAGAATCAGGTCCAGGCAGTTCTACTATTGGCCACTAGGGGGCACACAAATACCATTTCTCTCCTTTTGGAGTTCTCCAAGAGCAAGACCTTCTGTAGACCAAAGGGTGTTTAATTGCCTTATGGCACAATAGAAATATTATGGAGCCACAAAAAGTGCTAGGAAGTACCTGTGTTTATTATTGTGCATGAACACAAACACAGTGAGTGAGGAAAGCAGGCTATGGAATAGAATGAGGGTGTATTCTTTTTTGGATGTTTTAATGTTGAAATAGAATGGTATATGGTCCAGTGAGTTCCGAGTTGGTGTTAATGAGGCCATTAGGAGGAAAGCAAAAGAAAAAAGAATTACAGCAGCATTCAAGCCAACGCTCAGACTCTGAAACAAACAACTGTGTTTATTCAATACCCTCCCACCCTTGGGTTGGCCTCAGTTTCCCCTCTCTGCCTCTGTTGTGTCCATTGTGAGTCCAAGAGCAAAGGCAGTCCTGGCAGAAGTGGATCAGGCCTCTGCTGGGCCAGAATTCACTGCAGCCATGGTCCAAGATATTCTTGTGAAATAACAGGTAAAATGGGGTAAGAACCTGGGTTTTCTCTGTTCCGGTTTCCCTGTCATGTGTTCCTTCTAGAAGGCCGAGTTTGCCAGACTGATCCTAAGAGGGGGTTAGGGACCGTTTGTGTGCTCAGGACATGCTGCAACTAGAAGCCCATGGCAGAAATGTGGATTATGCCTGAAAAAATGCCAACAGGAGGAAGGGCCAACACCAAATATGGGGTGAGACCAGGGCATTGAATAGTGACCATTCTCAGGCAGTAGCCACTGGTGGCCTGCTCTGATCAATGCTACATTCATGTATCATCTGCCACATATCCCACTATGCCCCTCACAGTGCCTTTTAAATCAACTCACTTTTACTCCTTGATTTCATTTTAAGCAATCGATCCATGAAAGTAAAGATTCTACTTTTCCTATGTAAGTGTCAATAATCACATAACTATTAAAGAAGAAACGTCCATGCGTGTGCTACCTAGAACGCTGTGCACCATGTTAAGAACTGGCTGGCATCCACAGCCATACACAGAAACTGTTACTTATCCCAGAACCCCAGTGTCTATTTGTACACTCCATTTCATTGCTCTAGGCTGTCATGACCTATCTAGATGGAAAGTTCCCTGGGGAGCAAGAACTAAGCTCTCTCCAAGCCCTTGGAAAGTGCTGGTACAGGTGGGCCTTCAATAAATGTTCCATGAGGCAGACTGAGGTGACACATGCCTGTAATCCCTGCTACTCGGGTGGCTGAGGAAGGATTGCTGCACTGGAGGCCAGCCTGGGCAACTAAATACCTGTCTCAAAATAAAAAATTCAAAGAGGGCTGAGAATGTAGTTCAGTGGTAGAGCACTTGCCTAGTACCGGCAATGCTCTGGGTTCCATCCCCAATACCCCCAACTCCTCCCTTCACAAAGTTGCATGCTGCTGATCCACTTTTCACCTCTGGGTGGCGCTGCATGAGATTCTAATCATTCAGTTACCCATCTATCCAGTCCCAGCCCAGCGCTGCTAGGGACAGTGAGGGCAGAAAAAAGTTGAGGCAGTAATTCTGCTCTCAAGCAATTTGTACCTAACTGGGAGAGCACAGAGAACTGGTGAGCTGGTGGTCAGGTGGGAAGAAGGCGGGAGAGAGGAAGACACGGCCAGGTCCCAACAGGGGAAGTCAGCCCCAGAACCGGCCTGGGGTTGCACTGCACAGACCCAGTGACACAGATGACCCAGCTCACAGCACTGCATCTCGTCCTCAGTGCACAGAGCCTCCCAGTTTCAACCACCCCTCTTGCTGCAGCTGTAGTACAGGCATTTCCCCTCCACCCTTAGACCCCCACTCTAGACACCTCTCCCAAACAAGTTTTCTCTTCAATTTTCTCAGCCTAAGAAAAGAAGAAAGCTGCCCACCCCTTCTCACCACCCTGCCCTCTGAATGCCCCTTTCTCCTCTCCTTCTACCCTATTCATAGCTGTGCGTGCGGGTGGGAAGTTCACAGGCTGTGCCTGGAACAGGTGTGGAGGATCGGGTGACGGACAGATGAGCCAAGACAGCCGCAGCCGGGTGTGGGGGCCTGGAGGGGCTCAGATTCATTGTCATGTGCTGGTATGTGCCTGGGAGAAATGTCAGGGCCCAGAGGGGAGTGGGCTGGGATGGGAGGAAGGCCTGGGGCACCCTCCTGCCACTGTGGCTCAGCTCAGACCCTGGCCAGCATTTCACCATGTGGCCTGGTGTTCATGAGCCCCACTGGACAAGAATCTCCTCTCCCTGTCCCAAGGACAGTGGCCTCTGCCGGTATCACAGGCTACTCAGTCCCCCACTCCAGGCCTGCAGTACTCATCAGATAGTGCTCGGCCTCTGCACCTCCACTTCCACCTCTCCTGCAAGCAGATGCCATTTCCAGCAGGGGCCTTCTCCTGGCAGGCCACGGATCTGTGGTTTATTGTCTCCAGAAGAACCGTGACTCTCAGGGAAGGGAGAAAGGAACTTCGATTGGGACATCAAGTTGTCCCCAACCCCACACCATGAGGGTGCTGATCACGGCCCCTGGACGCCAGGAGAGAAGGAAGCAAGCAGAAAAAGAAAAGCCAGCTTTGGGAGAGTTGGCACTGTTCCCTGCCTGAGTGGCTTCCTTCCTCCTTGGAGGGCCAGCGCACACAGCTGATGGCAGGAGAGGGAGAGAGCGGGCCAGGGAGCTGGGGAGCCGCCTATGTCTCCTAGGTCTCCCCATTAGCAAGCAAGCACGTTCCCCTTTCCCTGCTTGTCGTACCTCTACCCTCCCTCCCCACGAGGACTGACAGATGGACAGATGATTGCCAAGGTGCCCTGGCCTCTGACATGCCCTCGCTTCTGATTTCACTGTCCTCACAGTGCCCAAGCTACTGGCACTGAGCAAGAGCCTGGCTCCTAGGGCTCAGGGGAGGGGTGGGAGAGGAAGGGGGGAGGGGGGATGGGGCAGGGGATTAGCAAGGATGGTGAAATGTGAGAGGTATCGAGAGGCAGAGAACATGGAGGAACACAAGATAGAAAATCACTTTCATGGAAAGGGGTTGCCAAGATTCCAAAAGATCGGGGGGGGGGGGGGGGGGGGGGGGGGGGGGGGGG